AAAACTTCAGAAATCGCTTGATTTTTTTAAACATTTTTTTTTAAATAGTGAAATGACCAGGGTGACGTTAGCTACGTAGATTCTAATATACCGTTCTTTTGATAACTAACAAAGGAAACACGGTACATACTTGACGTAAAAGCAAGTGTACACTACTGTACTTAAATAACATTTTCGATTGCGGATCTAGCCGATCAAGATCTAATTTTCATTAAAATGAAATATACATAACCCCTAACAAACACTTCAATCAACGTACCACTGTGCACGACCAAGTATATCTAGTTTACAAAAAATTAAGTTAAACCAAGTTCATAATAAATTCAAATTACTAGTATGTAATTTTGACGATTGAAATTTACGAGAAAAAAAATCATATCAAATTAACATATATCATTGAAACCAAACTCGTTATTTTTTCAATTACATAAATCAAACTTTTTAAACGGGCCTAGATATGTTTAATTTTTATGTCGCTTGTGTGGCCCAGTGGTTAAAACACCTGCCATAGAGGCACGAAATAAGGAGTTGAATCCCACTGTAGGACGTGGAGATCTATAAGCAGAAACAGAGGTCCAGTGTCGCAGAAGATGTTGACAGAAAGATCCCTTACTGCTCAATGACCCTGAGTGTCGAGTCTAGGGCAAAATTTGTAGCAAAATTTGAAAAGTATTGTATACAAATCACTTAACCTATATTCGATGGACGTGGTCAGAAGGACAAGAAGAAGCGTAAAATCATATAAAATCCAAATGCATCTTTGAAACAAAACCATGAAAACACTTAATGTTACAATCACACGAACCAGTCCGACCGATTCCTAAGCTGACTTACATATGCATGAGTTTTGAAAGCTATGGTACAAGTCATTTACCCCATATCACACGGTTGATTATGTGTAGATACCCGATGGACGTGGTCATAATGACAACTCGGGAGCTACGCTCCCTCGTGTCATTATGACCACGCCCATCGGGTATCTACATATAACCAACAGTATGATATGGGGTAACTACTACTTATTGCAATATTTATTGTCAGTTCAACTCCGTTATATATACATGTAACAATACTTTACGTCTGTAGTGTTGGAAATGCTGAGTATGTTTTCTGCTCTGGAATTACAATAAGCTATTCAATATCCAATCTTTGTATAATGCTGAATAATTGTATAAACCCGATCATTTACTTCCTGTTTTCCTATCCCGCACGCAAATTTCTCAACAGATGTGGAACACTTTAGACGTAATTCTTATTGAAATTTATTACTACTGTATTTAACTGCAGGGTAATGTACGAAAGAAGTGTGGTTTAATAAAATAGTCTATAAGCTTTGAACGTTCGAGGCATTCTAGATACATTTTCCTTGTTCTTTCTTAAAACAATGGTTTAAAATAAATCAACTTTATCTTATGTTATCTTTTTTTTTATCAGTGATTTAAGTTAATTAAAATAAAAGTAGCAAAGATAATTTCTGTCGAAAAACATCCTCGGTCATATTTTTACATCGAATTCTGTTGTTCCTTTCTAGCGCCAGAAATAAGTACATCTTATAGAGTGGAGAATAATTTTTCTTCAAATCAATGAGAATGAAATCTCTAAACAAATAGGAAAAAAGAATCAAAGTTATGAATAATAACATATATGGAAATAAGGAAAACCAGTTCGAAACACCTTAGCTGCAATGAACCTTATTAAACTTCATATAAAACTAATAACTTTGAAAATAAAATCTGATTGGCCAAGACAGTCACGTGACCGCTGTGTTTGCCCTGAACCAAAACTTCGTGATTCACGTCGTGATCAATAATTGTGACGTCACATTGCGACTAGTGACATGATTACTACTGAGTTAGATTGTTTTTATCGTAGATTAAAATGACGATATAAAATTGTAAAAAATCATATTTCCCCATGCTTGGGGATGTTCACTTCTCTATGGCACCTGTTCCCATCTCTGATAATTTGGAGGTCCGTGTTTGTTCTGCTCCTATTTTGTATTGTTTTATGGACTTTGACATTGAATACTGTTCGTATATCTCCATATCCTTCATGTTACCAGTGTGTAAATTAGAATGGCTTAATTGTCAAGTTTTTTATGAAGCGCGGCTATTGGTGTAACTTACACCTGTTTCATACTGATCTTATTCAAATGTATACTTTATTTATTGGATTTTCTTCATATTTCCTGCATTGTGCTTGATTCGGTATAATGAAAAAAATTATTGCATGAATGGTCGGGAGTCATGAAGCTTTCTTCGCCCATGAAAAAAATCATATTACCCGAGGTCAACGTATAACATAACCATCATAATTTATTTCAGTATTGTAGTGGACAGTTCCCTTCAATAGTTTCTCTCGGGAACAAAGTTTTAAACATCTTTGTTTGATATTTACATGCATACAATGTATATTGTGGCATTATGCGTTAGATATTTATTTTATAGAAACAGAAGAATATAAACAAATTTAATTGAAATTATACACTTGCATCAAAACCAATCAATACATATATAAAAATATTGTAGAAAATACAATGTAGGCGCAGCTTAGCAGATACGGTTTTTTTTATCATAACTTTATTTTATAGTTAATGCAAATGTTCACAAATTCAATGACACTCTATGGGTTAAGGGACATTTACGACAAAACCTCCATTATTCATAAATGTATCTGTGAACCTTTATTCATATACGTATCTACGAATACACGCAGTTACTTGACTTCCGTTAGTAGCATAAAGGTCAAATAAATTTGAAGTAGACTGCCACTGGAGTTATGAGGGAAATAATCACATGGACACATGAAGTACATTGAGGAAAGCTTGCACATTGGTATGTTACTGTTAATTAACGTTTTCTTATTTTAGTTCTTATTGATCTACATAAGTTAGAAATTAAACATAAGTACATAGTTCTAATCTATTACCTTTATTTCAGTCAGAATTTCAGTAAAGGTAATGAAATTTAAAAAGTAATCTTCATTGTATTAATAAATTGTATGGTATGAACTCGATCGATCAAGATGAGACAAATTATGTAAATGTTATGAGATAGTTTTTTGACCATGAGAACCTTGGTAAATCTATAAAACTTAAAACTGCTGGACCCTTTTCCTAACAATCTTGTTTTTGTTTAACGTTTGAACAACAGACCGGTTGATGTTTTTTTTCCTTTTTGAAATTGTGCTTGCTAAGACGTTTTTATACCTTTAGATGATTTGATAGTGTTTTTTTTTTCTATTTTTTATTTGTAGTATATAAAATAATTCAATATTGTAACGTTTAATTCTGAATGATATTAAGTTCCCAAAAAACCAGGAGTAAGTAGAACAATAACTTGAATAACAGAAATTTTTGAGACACAAAAAGTATGAAAATCAATTTACTTTCTATTTTCTTGAATTCCTATATCTAGATATATATATGAAATATAATTAACGCAAAACCTGATCAGCAGAACACTTTTAAGCTAAAAGTAGTGAAAATTGGACCCGAACAAATTCATACCTGTCTGCGAAATTTAATGTGTTCAATGCAGACTTTTTTCTATTTTGAAAACAAAGGGTTCAATTGATAAGAGAATGTTGGGATATAAGTTTGAAATCAATAATCGTGAAATTCAACATCTTTATTAATTTTTCATTAGTCTTGCCACTCTTTTCTTTCAAGAGGGTTAGACCTTTTGAAATCATATATATCCATCCAATATCTCCCTTTAAGTACGTGTACTCAATTCCGTAGATAACGAGAAAAATACTGGATCAGGAAACTAGGCATGACCTTTTACTGTGTTTTGAACGATCGCATAAATAATGTAAGGATATTTGTAAGCCCGCAATATGCCAATGTGTCATGGGACTTCATATCTATTCAATTAGATGAAGGCGCATTTATCGAAATCGATCAAACAATTAAACCAAATGTATGTAGATAATGTCTCTTTTGATTTACTTTTGCCTTAAGTCAGTTAACAATGGGGTCGTCATCATATTCGTACTAAACTTTACTTGGTTCACTTGAAAGTTTTGAATTGAATATTTGAAGAAAAGCAAGCGTATATTTAGAATTTTCTACTGGAGAGTACAAACCAATGTTTATGAATCTGGATGATTTCCATCATTGGCTCTTTAAGCAAACACGTGAGTCGGAAGATAATTCTGACCAGTCGGTTTCTTAAAATATAGAAATGAAAAATTATATATCGTAATCTTAGTAACATTCTTAATCATAAAATAATCATAAAAAATCATTCTTGCATACCTAATTTCTATTCTCCATTGCCTACAGATAAACCAAACCATTTGCTTACAAACTTTCCAATTTTTAGCATCACTGTACCTATATGTGAAATATCTGAAACAAAAGCTTCTTATGTATTCTTGCTCTTCTTTTTTTTCAATTAAATTCCATTAGATAGGTAATTACCTGTGATGTTAATATATTTAAAAATTAAGACCAAAAACGATGATCTGAAAAACAATTCTTAATACTGGAGCCCCGATATATTGATTTATTGCTATTATGGATTCTGTATTATTTAAAAAGCTACAAAGTTAAAAGGCATCCATCCTTCCCAAGTGAATTTGAAATAAAAAGACACGACGAAGTTAACACTTCTATTTAACTTACTTTACTCGAAAAGGACAAACTTACAAATACCTAGTAAGACAAACGAGATGATTTCAGCTTTTCTACTTCCTTACTCATCTACTCATCTACTCATATATATTCCACTTAAACCTGCATATGATGGTAACATCTCACAGCTCTTTCGTTACTAAAGACCCTACTCTAATTACGATCAATGTTTTAACTAAGGCACGACACTGACAGATGAGTTGATGATTTAATCAACCTCGTTTTCAGTTTGCATTTCGTAGATTCCATCCATGTTCCTTATAATGACCACTTTAACAAGTATAACCTATATGGATCTTTAGCTGATGTGTTTCATATATTCTACTATTAACTATGAGATTCTCCGTCTATCTTATTTAGACAAGGGCTCAAGGCGCTTGTGACCGGTCAACAGGGGATACCCTCTCCTTCCTTACACCTGATCCCACCTCTGCTATTTCCAAAGTTTATTATGTCCTCTTTACAGATTAATTTTTTTAGATCATCTACTGTTCGTTATCTTCAATTCTTTCTCATTTAAAGACAAATTTAATAGATCAATAGTAATTAAACTGATTTTATTGATACAGTGATGTTGATTTTGTTGAACGCCATATACAAATAAACATAAACTTGTTAAATAAACTATACATTCATTTTCTTTTCTTTTAACAGAAATGGACAGAAACACAACAGTTGAAAGACTATTTCCTTTAGGCAAGAATTACAACAACAGTGTCTTAGAGTTAGAGAATAATGTTACGTACAACACTCCTAGAAACAATGATGTTTCTACGGAATTCTTAGTTACTTTAATTGTTGCTATTTTAATACTCATAACTGGAGTGATTGGAAACAGTTTTACAATTATGTTTGTTATTGTGAAAAGAAACTTACATACGCCAACATACACCGTCATAGCTTGTTTTGGAATTGCTGACCTCCTAGCATCCTGTTCCCGATTCGTTTTACATTTGGACCAATATTTTGAATTTTTAGATCCGATGGATATTACCGTGTATGGCATTATCACTATGTTCTTCCTACATGCAGCAAATTTCCATGTAGTTTTATTTGCATATTTGCGTTGTGCGTTTATTTCGACCCCTCTTCAAAGCATTGGAATTACGTGTCAAAAGGTTTTGAAAATTTCCATCGTTATTTGGATAGTGTGTGGTGTTGTGACGTCAGTCTACGGTACAATAATGATATTTGAAATCAAAAGTATTATTGCACTTGAAGACAGTTTGTTCACTGAAATTATATTCTGGTCTTATACTTACTTTTTGCCGTTATTCCTTATAGTTTACTTTCATGTTACAAAAATAAAAACGGTGAGGCAGCATAGATCTGAAACAACAAGAACACCATGTTATACCCATATGTCTAAGTCAATGTCTTTTATGTTTATTATTATCATTGCCATTTTTGTCATCAGTACAACTCCATCATATGTGCATGTTATCATACAATACATATGCTGGAAAGAAAATTATCAGTTCAATATTTGCATTCATTATCCTTTTCCATTAAGCTATTCAATCTCCTATATTTGCGTCATGTTAAATAATTGCATAAATCCATTAATTTATTTTATTTTTTCCCCTCCTGCCCGAAAGTTTCTGAACAGATGTCGGTCAATTCGGAGATGATTTATAATCAGTTGAAACAGGCTAAAGCTGAAAATACGCAAGTAAGTTAAGGCTATGTAGGTAGAGGCATTTCTATGCAAATGAGCTAATGAAAATGCATAATTTGTGTAATTTTTACACAGAGAAGGTTCAAGCTTATTTTCTTATACATTATAAGTTCACACAGCATTATAAAGCAACTGCATATTATGACGTCATTGATCTTTTCCTATTCATTGTAATAAAGACATCAGCAAAATAACGCCGGCGCAAGGGCATATCCTATATAAATTTGAATAAATAAAGTAAAATGTAAAGGAGAATGTGATAAAAAACAATAAAATTGCTGCACAAATCCTATGCGCTTTTCTAATTTATAAAAATTTCAGAAAACTTACACCGGACAGTGAATTTTTAAAACTTTTGAAATAATAACTAAACAATTGCACTGTCGACATTTGTGAAGCAATATCACAAATCCTTGTAATATTCTGCGTCTAATAATACCTTGTTCCAAAGAACAAAGTTGATCATGCCCTTGCGCCGAAGCTATTTTGTTGATGTAGTACAGGGCTATGACGTCATAATATAACCTCATAATGTGAACTGGCTAGGGCATGTTGTGGGTACCACGTTTATATAAGAAAACAAGTTTTAACTTTTTCTGTGCAATAATTTTAGCCCCTATGCGTTTGAATTAGTCCATTGCATAGAAACCTCTATACGTTGCCTTAACAAACTTGCGTACGCGTTTTCTTATGCTTATGTTTACATCTCAGGAAATTTTATAGGAGATTACAGAAGCAAAATGGATACTAATGTATCATAGCACTAACTCTATTGTAATTCAATTTTTAAATCTTTTAGTAGATATATGTAGGTTATTCCAAAAGATGTAAGTATATGAGACAACATACATGTGGACTGAAATAGTTCCCCTTGTGAATGACAGACTCTTAAATATGACAAACCCTAAAGACAAATCTGATATTCTATGGTCAAAATGATAAAAATGAATGGATTGAAAAGAAATTATATAACTCCGTAACTATATTAATTTACAAGTCTGCTGACTCTAGTTATTTTAGAAAAAGATATTGGATTTACTAGAAAATAATACTTTATATATAAGCTTGAAATATTATTAAGCATGACATTGCTGAAACCTCTAACTAAACACAAAACCAAAAATATACCTCTCTAAGAGATGTACTTTAACAAACAATCCAAAATATTATTGATTGTGATCAAATTCATGAACTTGGTTTATTTTCTTATGGTAGTCCTTATCATGGACTAGGTATTGATATTCAAATATTTGAAGCAATACATGCTTATATTGCAGCAACCAAACGTTTTGTTTTACACTGTCTTGTATGTTACTTCTGCCAACACTTTCTAACCAGTACAACATTGTATTTTTTCCTTTCTACTCTGTTTTTGTGTTTTTACTATGCTTGTCTATTTAGTTTCATACCCATATATTGTGTGTGCTCATTTTGACCTTGTAGTGAGAAGGCTAAAACAGGCTTTTCCTGCTGCCTGATCCAATACACTTTGTTTGAATAAAATTTTGTACAAATACATACAACACAGAGAACAACAGAAGTATACCAAGCTCTTCAGTTAATATAGCAGCGTATATAAGAATCTAAAACAATAAAACTACAATCTCATGAGTGACATTCATTATTGCAATAGTATTACTCATAACAGGAATAGTTAGGAAAAATTACACACACCAACTTACACATGTATAGCTTGTCTAGTAATTACTGATGTTCTGGCATCTTATTCAGGATTTGTTTAACTACTGCATAACTGTTTTGGAATATTCAAAATTTACATGGAAATTGCAATATACATCATAATAGTTATCTTTTTCCTACATGCAGCAAATTTACACATAGTTCTGTTCGCATAATTACGTTGTAAATTGATTTCATCGCCGCTTCAAAGTGTTGAAATCACGTGTTGAAAGTTTTTTCGGATTTCCAGCGTTATTTTGGTACTAAGTACTACTATGGCTTTCATGGTACAATAATAACTTTGGAACTTAAAAATATTTTAACTTCAAAAATAGCTTTCTCGCAGATTTTGTACTATTGTCATATATTTACTTTTTGCCTTTGATCCTTATCGTGTTTTTTCATATTAAGAAAATAAGAACGTTAAGGCAGCAGCAATGTCCATCTGAACGAACTTATACACACATGTCACATTCAATGTCTATTATGTTTATCGTTATAATTGCAATATTTATTGTCAGTTCAACTCCGTTATATATACATGTAACAATACTTTACATCTGTAGTGTTGGAAATACTGAGTATGCTTTCTGCTCTGGAATTACAATAAACTACTCAATATCCAATCTTTGTATAATGCTGAATAATTGTATAAACCCGATCATTTATTTCCTGTTTTCCTATCCTGCACGCAAATTTCTCAACAGATGTCAAACATTTTGGACATAATTTTAGTTGAAATTTGCTGCTACAGTATTGAACTGCACGAGAAAATGTAAGAAGGAAGAGTGATTTTATGAAATAAGCTTTAAGCGTTGAGCATTAGAGGCATTCTAGATGTATTTTCCATGTTTTTTTAAACAATGGTTTCATATAAATCAATTTCATCTTATGTCATCTTTTTTTTATCAGTGATTTAAGTTAATTAAAATAAGAATAGTAAAGATAATTTCTGACGAAAACCATCCTTGGTCATATTTTCATATCGAATCCTGTTATTCCTTTCTAGCGCCAGAAAAAAGTTCATCTTATAGAGTGGAGATAATTTTTTCTTCAAATCAATGAGAATGAAATCTCTTGACCCATAGTAATAGAAGAATCAAAGCTTTGAATAATCACATATAGGGAAATTATGTAAACCAGTCGGGAACACTTTAGCTGCAATGAACCTTATTAAACTTCATATAAAACTAGTAACTTTTTAAATATAATTTTTTGGTCGAGACAGTCACGTGACCGTCGTGTACGTTTGCCCTGGAACAAAACTTCGTGTTTCACGTCGTGATCCATGATTGGACTTCACATGTCTACGAGTGAGATGATCACTACTGAGTTAGACTCTTCATATCGTTGATTGATATGACGATATAAAATTGTAAAATACTATATTTAGAACAGTGTGCCCATGCTTGGGTATGCTCACTCCTATATGGCACCTAATCCAATATCTGATAATTTGAATGTCCGTGTTTGTTCTGCTCATATTTTGTATTAGTTTTTGGACTTTGATATTGAATACTGTTCGTTATCCCCATATCCTTCATGTTACCAGTGTGTAAATTAGATTGACCGAATTATCAATTTTTTTTATGAAGCGCGGTTAGTGGTGTAACTTACACCTGTTGCATATTTATGTTATTCAAATATATACTTTATAAATTGGATTTTCTTAATATGTTCTGCATTGTCCTTGATTCGGTAAAATATAAAGAAAATTGCATGAATGGTCGGGAGACATTAGGATTTCTTTGCCCATGAAAAATCATATTCCCCGAGGTCAACGTATAATATCACCATCATAATTCATTTCATTACGAGGGCTGTTAAATAAAGAATATCCCCAGTGCTCGGAAAGAAGCAAAAGATGTTCTTCAATGATTTTATCTTAATGATTTAACTTAATATTCACTTTTGATTAAAACACATGTCCATAAGATTTTTATCTAGTTTCGGATTGTTTTTAGAACTCATTTTTGGGTATGACTCTTAGGATACTAGAAAATGGCATATCCTACGATTTCCTGGACCTGTTTCTTCCTTCTGGAAGGTGTTTTTTCAATTTTGGAAATAGATACAAGTCAAAAGGTCAAACATCTGGCGAATATTGTTAATGTGAAAAAAAATTAAATTCAGGACATTATTTATTGAACAGCCCTCGTATTGTAGTTGAAAGTTCCCTTCAATAGTTTCTCTCGGCAACAAAGTTTTAAAATTTATGTTTGATAGTTACATGCATTTAATAAGGCATTTATTTCATAGGAAAAGAAAAATATAAACAAAATTAATTGAAATTTGACACTTGCATCATGTTCTAATGTAATTCTTTTGTTAATTATTTTATTGAGATAATTTTTTGACTATGAGAACCTTGGTGTTTCAAAAAACAAAAATGTCAAACTGCAAGACCCTTATCCTAACAATCTTTTTGACGTTTGAACAACAGAGCAATTGATGTTTCTTCCTTTCTGGAATTTTTTTTTATATCTTAAGATGATTTTAAAGTGTTTTTTTTTTGTTTATTTGTAGATGTAAAATAATTAAATGTTATAACGTTTTATTTTGAATGATATCAAGTTCCTAAGTAATTCAGGAGTAAGTTTGTTTTACATTAATTTGAATAACAGAAATTTCTGAGACATAAAGAAAAGATGAAAATCAATTTCCTTTCTATTGCCTTTAATTTTTTATATCTAGATATACATATTAAATATAATGAACGCAAAACCGATCAGCAGAACACCTTTAAGCTAAAGGTAGTGAAAATTTAACCTGAGCAAATTCATAGCTGTCTTCGAAATTGAATGTATTTAATGCACACTCATTTCTATTTTGAAAACAAAGGGTTCAATTGATAAGAGAACGCTGTGATATAAGATATCAACAATCGGGAAATCAACATCTTTATTAACTTTTCATTTAGTCTTGCCACTCTTTTCTTTCAAGAGGGTTAGACTTTTCTTTCAATAGGGTTAGACCTTTTGAAATCATATATATATATATATATATATATATATATATATATATATATATATATATATATATATATATATATATATATATATATATATATATATATATATATATATATATACACTGAAGGGAAAAAGAAACGCAGGGTAAACTTTTGAGGTGAATTAAATTTGTTTTTCTTAAAATACTTTTTAGTTTTCCTATCTAACTTTTAAAATCATCTTTCAAAAAGATATAACCAAATTCTCATATGATTTTGTGTAATTATTCATGAGTTATTGAAGCTCAAATGACGATACCCCCGAAAAGGGAAAATCGAAAACTCTTATTATCTTCAATATCCATCTCGTGCATCTGTCAGAGTCTTATTTCTCCTTTGCATAAAATTTCATCAGAGTGTTTATCTTTTAAACCCTGGCTATATTTAGCATGGGTAACCACGCAAAAAAATAAGTCAAACGACGCGCGCATGCGCCAGTGAGAGGAATACAACAGTAAGTTGACTGGCTCAAAAAACCAAATTGCAGAATTGTTTTCTTTCAA